TCCAGCTGTTTGGCTCCGTCTTGTGCCTTTGAAGCCCTCATGCCAGAAAAAAAGTTGTCCTCATCAGATGAGCTGGACTTGTTGACCTCAACAGACTGCAACGAGAAGTCTTCTATGTGTCGTTTTATATAGTCCACTCCTAAAATATAACAGAACATTGTAAAAAATGGTGAAAACAGTGCCAGTACAAAATGAAGGAAAGTTTGACTTTATACAGGGCAAGAATGGACATGCACCACTAAAAGCCATGTTTCCAAGCACTTGGTGTATGATTAATATGCAAATCTTTATTGAGCGTGCTCCCTTTCTTACCTAGTTTGATTGTTTCCTCTTCCCGTGTCCAATTGGTCCGGAACTTTGGAAGCAGAATAGCGGCAGCTACCAGCTCTGGGTCTTGCATCATCGGACCAAATCGTTCCTCAATGCCCACCTGTAGAGCATCGACAAGGGGCTTGCAGTATTTAAGCCTTAGTTTGATCCTATCCAGCTTACTTATCAGGAGCTTGACCGTTGGCAGCAGCCATCCCATCTGGACATTTGTTTCAGCTTGTAAGATGTTAGTTGCTTGGGCAACTGGAGTCATCACAACAGCAAACTCTGACAGGAATGCAAGTTCAGCTGGATTAAACCTGTGGGGACATTTTATCAGAAGTTAGGCATCACAATGAGACAAAAAAAACACAAGCAATGGAATGATTCATCATTCAATATTAATCATTAAATGTAATTGTTGTACAAGCAGACAATATATTCCAGAATTGCAATTCAATAGGACTACAATATGAATTTTGGAGTACTTACATGGGAACATTCAAGCCTGTGCAGATAACTTTCATGGCTGCCTCTCCCTTCTCTTTGACTATCCTGAGCCATGAACACAGAGTTCCAGCTTGTGGAAACCGGTCGCACAAGCTGGAGGGAGGAAGCATCCTCCACAGTTTCAGCTGCTGTTGAGGATCTTGACCACTTATTCCACAGTGCACTGCATTTGCCAAATGTTGAATAGTATCATTTCTTATAAGAGTCATTGGAAACTGCCTTGTGGGCATCAGTTGTAGCTATCAGATTGAGAATGTGGCATGCACAACGCTGGTGCTTAGGAAGCTGGAACCCAAAACTGTCATCCTCATCCAAAAGTGAAGATACATCAACAAACTCAACCTCCTCCTCATCTTGGTCTGTTTCTTCTGCCTCTTCCTCCTGAGCTTGAGCACCAGCATTGTCATTTTCCTCTTCAGCAAAGACTTTGAAGGCTATGATGAAGTTGGAGCCATTGTCCGTGGTTGTTCTTACTATTTTTCCTCGAATTTCAAACTCAGTGTGGATATCATTAAGGGTGTTTGCCAGTAGGTCGAAAGTGTGAGAGCCTCTAAATCTTTTACAGGCCAGGGCCACGGAGACCCTTTTTAAACTGTTATGATTCAGCCAATGGGCCGTAACCCCAATGAAACCACGCCGCCTGACTGAGCAGCGGTCAGTGGTTGTTGCGATGTAGTCCACATTTTTCATGCTCTCGATAATTTTGATCTTCATTTGTTTGGCAGCATCCTCAATCCTAGAAGTGAGTGTGTTTCTTGACATTATTTTGGCATTTGGCACTAGGTCGAACACAAAGTCCCTAAAATGTTCCTGCTCTACGATGCTGAAAGGCTGAAGTCCTCGGACAACACAATTCACAATGGCCTTGTCAACCCATCTATGGGGCGCTGTCCAGCTGTCTAATGTCGGCTGCTTGATAGAAGAGGAAGACGGAGTTGGAGTTGCAGTCTTCCTCTTTCGTTTAAGTGATGTTAGATCTTCATATTTTTTCAAGTGGCAGTCATGCTTGCTCTGAAACCAGACAAACAGCTTCACTTTTTCTGAATTAAATGGAATAAGAGCCATATCAACACTAGTATGACTAGTGTACTGTGACACTATGAATAAAAGCAAAATTAATTTAATATAAAGGGATTTATTCAGTATAATTCTACATTCAAAGATTTAGGCAAACAACTCCAAGGCAACACAATCGATTGCTGTTATGCTAGTTGTATAATTGTATTTGTCAATGTGTTTTTTAACTTACCTTGATATGTTTCTTGAGATTAGATGACGAATTTTTTAAAGCCAGGATTTCGCAATCCTTTGGGAGGCAGAGTTGGCACTTCATTGGATATGAGTTGTCTTTTTGTCCGATAAAGGTAAACATAGACTCTAAGTAGGGCCAGGGGTGGAGGCTTTCATCACCCTCGCCACAATCAATTGAACTTGAAGAACTTGGTGTTGGTGGTGGTGTGCCTGGGACGTCATCCATCTCAATATCGAACACACGTTGTAGGATTACTATAAAATAGAAAACAGAAAATACAACAAAACACATGAGTGAATCATGTACACAATAAGCACAACTTCACAACATTCATGAATAAAATACGATTTATACAAAAATATACGAGATAAATTAAATCCTAACCATAGAAGAGGGATAACTGTTTTTAAACAAATATCCTTAACGAGACATAAAAGTGCAATTGCCTTCATGTAAAAACAAGGGTGTGCAATTAATAATTCTTAAGATGTAAAATACCCACAAATGCACAAAAATCTTTCATTGTGATCAAAATGGTTTGAGCACATACATACACTCTAATCTTTTTTCCACTCCGCTGTCTTTCTAAAACCCATATTCTGAGTAAAGTTGTCTGGCATAAGTGTCAGAGGACTGAATCATCCAGGTCACAGCGACTGTAGCCAGTGAATATCCACTACTCTTGGTTATTTATTTTGCAGTTTGAGCAAAGAGTCAGAGTTTCACGGCAACCTTCCCTCAATTTCAACTTTATATAAAACACAATACCATCAAGTTAAACATACCTTACCACATGGAAGCATGGTAATATTTGTCTTGTCCAAGTTGTGCTAATCAAATGTGTTGGATCTTTCTTGGTTAACATGAGAAAGTTCAATTTAATAGTAATGCAACATAATCTATCTTTAATGGAAAATATACCTTCTTAAAGGTACACAGTGTAGGAATTTCTCCCATCTAATGGTGAAATTGTATTTTGCGTATCCTGCTATCTAGTGCCTCACGTTTTCAAATGGGTATTGTGACTATGGTAGCCGTCATGCATCAAGAAGTAATGACAGCATGACTTCCACATCATCCAGTTTTCTCTCGAGTGATGAGGTTTGTAAATTAAAAGAAACTACAAACTGCATTGAATCATTGGTGTGAGCATGTAAAATTACACATCGAACAAGATAGCTGGTTTCAGTCACGTGACTGGCTCTGAACGAAAACGCGTTGTGGATAAACTAGACAGGTAGACTTTCTGCGATGATAACCATAGAAGAGGGATAACTGTTTTAAACAAATATCCTTAACAAGACATAAAAGTGCAATTGCCTACAGCAAGTTACACAATGCAACAGAGAAAACAGAGTGTGTTGCAAAGGAAAAAGGGAGCATGGCTCCTTTAAGAGGAGCAAACGGAACTCGCGCCACTCTTTAAACCAAACACAGACATGTGTGACTACTCCTCTGCCCAAGCAGAGCATAAACCCACAAATCCGCGGCACGTTGATAAAACCGCAGCATAAAAAACAGTAATGCCTATCATCCAAACATACTTTCGCTGTCGTGGCTGTGTTAGTATGTAAAAAACTATCTTGAGTACACAAACAACATAGTAACCAAGACATAACAGAAACTTACATTCTCAAATATGCACAGCATGGATCAGACTGTGGATATTCTGGATAGGGTTGTGTCCGGCAATAAGCCACAGTCCAGCGTTGATTCCTCTTCTGCTCCTGCACCTGCACTGACTTGTGGAACTCCGATCCTACTCAAAAAAAGTTCATGGCTCGAAATCTATGCAAATTAGCTCGTGTCCAGTTCGTGCGCGAGTCTATAGACCAATCACAGTAGACCAAATGCCCTGTGCACAGCCCACCTGTGCATGTACCCAGAGCGTGACTAGTGATAGACAGACACCCTGCCGCCCAAATTATGAACACATTACGTTTACATAAGTAACGAGTAACGATTCGGCCTATGAAAAAACGATCGGAGTAAAAGTATTAAATTAATCAAAAATATGTAGTAGAGTAAAAGTAAAAGTAGTGAGAAAAATATCTACTCCAATAAAGTACAGATACTGCATTTTGGTACTTAAGTACAGTACTTAAGTAGTTCTACTTCGTTACTGAACATCTCTGTCAGGTAGCGCTGTGACTGTGAAGAGTGACAGAACTTTGCATCACTCATAACTCCTGTTTTAAATGTTCATGAGGCAAAGATATATTTAAACTCATCTAAATTTCATACAGTTTGTTCAATGTTATCATACTCTCCAGATATGAATGAAAGGCGGAATTTGTGTTTTTAGAGTGGTTCACATCTGCCTGAGTGGCTTATATTTGGTTATTTTGTCATTTGAAAGACAATTGTGACAATGAAAATTGTTTTATAACAGTGTGTATTTGCATGAAGCTTTTGTAGTTAAAAAATGTCAGAACAAACTGTTGGCCCCCGGGCATCTTCACTTTATCAAATCTGGCCCTCTTTGCAAAAAGTTTAGACACCCCTGCTCTAGGGTCTAGTTTATGATTGATTTTATTATGTTGTCCTGTGTTCTTATATGTCTTACTGTACTGCTGCCTCTTGGCCAGGTCTCCCTCGAAAAAGAGATGTTATCTCAAGGGACTTCCTGGTAAAATAAAGGTTAAATAAAATAAATTAATTATTTCCATGTGTGTTTCAGGTTTACCTGCAGATGTTCAGCAGGTGTTGGTGGTTAAAGAAGAATATCCATGGAACCCGAGTCTGGACCAACAGGACCCAGAAGGCCTCAACATAAAGGAGGAAGAGGACCAACTGTGGACCAGTCCGGAGGAGAAGCCGTTTCATGGACAGGAAACAGATATCAGGAAGTTCTCAGGTAGCGTTGTGACTGTGAAGAGTGAAAATGAAGAAGAGAAACCTGAGCTCTCACAGCTCTATCAGATCAAAACAGAAGGTAACAGAGAGTCGGAGCCTCCAAGCAGCAGCTCAGCTGAACAGATGAAAGCAGAAGCTGATGGAGAGGACTGTGGAGGACCAGAATCAGCCGGGAACCCAGACCTAGATGACCCTTTAGCACCAAACACTGATGAAAAAACATCAGACTCCTCTGAGACTGAAGTCAGTGATGAGGATTATTGGGGGAAAGCTTCAGATACTCTGCCTGAAACTGTGGATGGAAAGAGAAATTGGAAACCAACTCCAGTGTCTGACTCTGGTGTAACTCGTAATAAGGATTTTAACAGAGCAGGAAAACCATACAGCTGCTCCGAGTGTGGAAAGCAGTTTTTGTGTAAACACTCCTTTAAGAAACACTTAGGATTCCACAAAGAGGAGAAACCTTTTGACTGCCATGAATGTGGAAAAAGCTTTAAGATAAAATCCTACTTACAGTCTCATATGAGGGTTCATACTGGAGAGAAACCATTTACCTGTGATGACTGTGGGAAAATGTTTAGTCAGAGAAGAAAACTTATAACGCACAGAAGAGTCCATTCAGGAGAGAAACCATTTGCTTGTAATGACTGTGGGAAAAGATTCAGTGAGAGGGGAACTCTCAAAGTGCACAGAAGAGTTCACACAGGAGAGAAACCCTTTTCCTGTAATGACTGTGGGAAAAGATTCAGTGAGAGGGGAACTCTCAAAGTGCACAGAAGAGTCCACACAGGAGAGAAACCATTTGCTTGTAACGACTGTGGGAAAAGATTCAGTAAGAGGGACACTCTCAAAGTGCACACAAGAGTCCATACAGGAGAGAAACCATTTGCTTGTAATGACTGTGGGAAAAAATTCACCAACAGTGGAACTCTCAAAGCGCACACAAGAGTCCACACAGGAGAGAAACCCTTTTCCTGTAGTGACTGCAGTAAAACATTCCGTAATAGAGGACATCTTACAAGACATATGAAAGTTCACACAAAAGCCAAAACCAAACATAAACTAAATTAAATGAGACATGATGTGACTCTTTTACAGGTCAAAATGATTTCCTGAGGTTTTAGGGAAATGTCTTTACCCCTGCACATTATTTAAACCCTCATCTCTGTAGATCCTTTCTTTTTAGACGGTCTTAGAGAGCAGAGTGAGCTCCACTCTGTCCTGTGAGGAGGGGAGGCTGTATAACTTTGGGCTTTTTTGTTGAAACTCATTAACTTTTTAAATAAGTTTTTTTATCTCTTATGTTGTGATGAGTCTGAATTAAACATTTGATGTGTTTTTGCCAACATGGTGCAGCTGACTGTGTCTTCATCTAAATCCTCAACCTGAACTTGGAGAAGTAGATGATTATAGATGAATGTTCAGAACGGCTGCTAATATGAACAATGTTTTGTGATGTTCATTTCTCTATCTCTATCAAGAACCGCCTTCTTTCGCCTACGTAAAAATTGCAAAAATCAGGAACAGGAATGATGCAGAAAAACTAGTCCATGCGTTTGTTACTTCTAGCCTGGATTACTGCAACTCCCTACTATCAGGCTCTTCCAAAAAAGTCCATTAAGACTCTTCAGCTGATCCAGAATGCTGCAGCACGTGTTCTGACAGGAACCAGTAAAATAGATCATGTTTCTCCTGTCTTGGCTTCTCTGCACTGGCTTCCTGTTAAATCCAGAATAGAATTTAAAATCCTTCTCCTTACGTACGAAGCTCTTCATGGTCAGGAACCATCTTATCTTAAAGAGCTCTTAGTACCTTACTGCCCTACCAGAGCACTGCGCTCCCAGAATGAAGGGTTATTGTGGTTCCTAGAGTCTTCAAAAGCAGAATGGAGCCAGAGCGTTCAGCTATCAGAGTCCTCTTTTGTGGAACCAGGTTCCAGTTTGGGTCCGGGAGGCAGACACCGTCTCTACATTTAAGAGTAGGCCACTCGTGGCTCCTGGAGGGCCTCTGCCCTATCCCCGTGGGGGGTTCTGTTGTGGGGCTCTCTCTGTGGCCGACTGGGGGGGGCCCGGTTGTCTCCATGGGGGTCTCCCTGGTCTGGGTGCTCCGGGGGGCCGCTGGTGGACCGGGTCTGGGGTCCTCTCTGCCTTCTTCAGATTGCTGGAGCGGGGTCGGTGGTGGCGCCCCCCCCCTATGCATGGTTAGCTGAGCACAATCTGTGTGAAACCTGGGTTGTGTGGTCTACACGTCAGCGCTTATACCCACCCACACACACATTAACTCATTTGCCCAGACACACACCTTTGAGCCTCTGCGCAGTTGCCGTACAAAATTAGAAATATATCCTGTCTGTCATTACTATCAGTGTGGTGTTGGCCTTCAGTTTTTGCTGCCTGTTTGTGTGTGTCTTTCTTGTGTCTGCTTGCAGGTGCTTCTACAGGTTCTCCCCCGGGTTTGTCTGCAGTATTATTTTGCTGTTAGTGTTTGTTAGTTTGTGTGTGTCTCCCCATAGTGTTTGTTTGCAGGTCCTCCCTTGAGTTTACCTACGGTGACTACAGGAGATTTTTCTACAGATGCAGCAGCTGGATGGATGGTTTTGTTTTAGTTTTTTTCCTCTCTTCCTGTTTTAGGGATCTCTTTGTTTTCCCCTTTCCTGTCCCCCGGTCATGTTTGGCATTAACCATATTACTTCTGTAACAAAAATAAATCTTAAATGAATAATAAAGCAGTATTGGATGATGAAGGGAGGGTTCTCACCCTGACAGGCCTCCCTTGGCAAAGAAAAAATGTCGGGCAGAGCACGAAACTCAGATTACAATTCTGTTGCTATAATGCTAAACACGACAAGGGGTAAGGGAAAAAAAACATAGCCACAGATGTCCTCTTTCAGCAGATGTGCCCGTTATTGACCTGGACCTCACGATTTTCCTGCCAACGGGCCTAGAGGCTTTCTTCTCGCACCCAAAACATTGACGTTTTAGTGAAAATCAGAAAATCTGCCCTCCACTCTAGGGACATCTTTAAAGCTTCTATTTTTTCTATGGGGACATTCACAAAAAAGATCAAACTCCTCCCTCTATCTGTTCCGCTTGGGTTTCTATATCCTGGACCAGTTTTGCTCAGGATTCTGAACCTGGACCAGTTCTACTAAGGTTTCTGAAACTGGACCAGTTCTTTCTGGATTCAGAAATTTAGGCCCTAAAATCGTCACCAAAGCCAGACGGGATCGGGTTTTGGTTTGGAGCCTCTATGGGTCAGATGTTCTTCTTCTGATTGTGTACTTGTAGCCATCCATCAGAACCCCTGAGCCAATGGGAGGGCAGGGAGGAAGAAAAGGGGGACGCACTAAAAACTGGACCAGAAACGGGCAGAAAGACTGGAGTTCACCAAACTGAGAGCTGGGAGGCAAAGATGATGGAACCAAAGCACCTGCTGTGGAACCAGACCAGGAAGCAGCTCCACAGGCCTCGGACAGCTGTGACTCCACCTGCAGGAAGCTGCTCTCCACCAATCAGCTTCAGGCTCAGCCTGTGAGGAAGGAGGAGGCCTGCTGGACCGGTTTTGCAGCGTCAGGTGGAACGGCCTTCAGGCAGAGCGCTGAGCTGGGGCTGGGGCCTCTGCTCTACGGTGGTGGGGGCTCCTCTGGGGGGTTTTCCTGGCTGCCTTCTGGGTTGGTGCCCGGTCGTCCCTGTGGTTGTCCTCCCGGGATCTGTGCTCGGGTGGCTGCTGGGGGACCGGGTCTGGGGGCACTCTCTGCCCTCTTCCCAGCGCTGGAGGGGGGGGCTTCGGCTGGTGGCCCCTCTGCACTATAACGGAGCACAATCGGGTAAACCTGGGCTGCCGGTTCTCATTCTTTCACACACACACACACACACACACACACACGCACACACACACACATACACACACACATACAGAGTCAGTTACCCAGACACACGCCTCCTTAAACTTGTTTACAGTTGCAGCACAATTCTGAGAAGTTCGTTAATGTCCTGCTACCAGTGTTGTGGCTTCTGTTGCTTGTTTATGGTTTTGTCTTCCCTGTGCCCTTTTGCGGGAGCTCCTACAGGTTTTCCACCCGGATTGCCCACATGGAACAGTGTCCTTTTTACAGACATAGCAGCTGGTTGTATGATCTTGTTGTCTTTCTTTCTTTTTTGTTTTCTTTTCTTTCTCTCCTTCACTCACTTTCTAAAGGATCTCTCTCCTTTCCACTACCTTTCCCTCCCCCCTGTCCCTCTGTCAGGTTCGGCATTATTGGACATATGGAAGTTTGGTAACAAAAATGAATAAATAAATAAGTTTTGGAGGGTGGCACGTTGGGGGCTATAAATGTTCGATAACAGGTTTCCTTAGGTTGCTGGTTCAATTCTGGCTCAAATTAACCTTTTCTATCATGTCCTATTGCAATATCGGTCCAAATGTTGCCCAATTTCCACCAAAAAATACAGTTTCTTTAATATATATATATTATATAGTTTACACTAAACACAGGAGGATCTTGTGTCTGTGTCAGTTTGGAATTAAGATTTAGTGGCTGGAGTGTCAGAGGGATGACCAGCTGACCCACCCCTCCACAAGTGGGACCACGTGGCCTAATGGATAAGGCCATGTTAGATGGGGAAGACAGGGGGAGAAGGGGGGCAGAAGAAAAACGAGGGGGAAAGGGGAAAAAAGAGAGAACCGAAAACATGCGGCCTTGTCACTTCGTTTAATTGATTTATTAGCTCAAGTAAGAGTATTTTTTTAAATTACTGTAAGTAGACCGGGATTCAAACCGGCGACTCTAGTAGGTGGTGCATTCAAAGTCTGATTGTAAATAAACATTAACTTAATATAAGTAGTATCAATGTAGTAGCTTAATATAAGCAGCGAATTGTACATCATGCATGTTTAGTGGTGGCAAAAAAATGCTCTCAACAATGCAACTGCAGAAATTACTGAGGATCTCAACCAATATACCAAACATTTACTTTTCAGGATCTGGTTATTATGGACAGATTACATGTTACCGTATTTTCGCGACTATAAGGCGCATATAAACGTCTTTTTGTTCCCTCAAAATATGCGGCGCGCCCTATAGTGCGGTGCGCCCTATGTGTGTTGTTACTGCGGACGTTGAGACCACCATGAGAACGTTAAAGGGGGAAGTGTGGCCGTGGATTGTGTATAAAAGAACAGGTTGTAGGCGAGCGGCGTGGGAGCGATGGATGACCGACGGAGACCACAGTTTCACGATAAGCGGAAGGTAGCGCTGGGCAAGCTACGCCACAGTTTGCGGATGGATTTTAAATGTGTCTGCTGGCACTGTTGTTTGAGCTTTTGCAAAAGCCGGCATCATTTCCGAGGAACCGCACAGCACGGAAAGTGACTCTGACAGCAAAGAAGGGGAAATTGGCATGTCTGATTTAGCTGTTTAATTCAGAAACAGAGGATGATGACTTCGATGGGTTTGATTAATACTTTGTGATAAATACATGAATAAAGCACAAACATACTCAGTTTTGCTCCCAAACTATTTTTAAATACGCAGTTGAGGTAATTAAACTTAGTAGAGGATATTTACCAGTATATAAAACCCACACCCTATAATCCGGTGTGCCTTATGTGTGTGTTAAATACTGTAATGGCACACATAACTGACACTGCGCCTTTTAGTACGGTGCACCTTATGGTGGTGAAAATAAGGTAAATTTCCATATTTCAATATTTATATTACAGTAATAGAGTTACGCGCATTAGTAGCTGAAAACACTCAGCAATAAAAGCTTGAGTTTCAACATGACTAAAATTTAAACCAACAGCTCAAATAAACACACTGACCTGACAACCAACAAACAGAGAGGACTTAAATACTGGCTAATCAGACCAGACTGATACACTGAGGAACAGGGGAGGGGAACAGCTACACAAATTCAACAAAAAATACTAAACACAGTTAGCTTAAACATTAACTTAAATATCTGATTACTATACAAAATGAACAAAATAAGCTTATTACATAAGCAAAAAGAAATTCTAGAATGATTAGAATAAAGACTCTCCCCATATGGAACTCCAGATGGTATTACCCAGTCAGTCGGTCAGTCTGGGACTGGAGGGCCAGCCAGCCACATGTGAAGTGTTTGACTAAATGAAACATACAAAAGTTAACTAAATGTGTTGCTACCATCCATTATCAATACCGCTTATTCCCTGATGGGGTCGCGGGGGGAACTGGAGCCTATCCCAGTGGTCCACGGGCGAGAGGCAGGGTCACCCTGGACAGTCCACCAGTCCATCGCAGGGCCACACACAGGACATACAAGGGCAAACAACCACGCACATTCACTCCTAAGGGCAATTTCCCCAATCTCCAATCAACCTAACATGCAGGTTTCTGGACTGTGGGAGGAAGCCGGAGAACCCGGAGAGAACCCACGCAGACACAGGGAGAACATGCAAACTCCACCCAGAAAGGTCCTGGTTCCCCCGGGATTCGAACCCAAAACCCTCTTGCTGGGAGGTGACAGTGCTAACCACCACACCACCGTGCCACCCTGTGTTGCTACCATTAGAACTAATGTATATCAATACAGTCAAATAGAAATAACCAAACCCCTGTATCTCTGCTGCTGTGGATGAAAACTGGAGGCAAAAATAGCTGGTTGGTGGGGGGGTGGGGTATCTCCATGGATTGTCCTCCACTCCTTCAGCAGATGAGGGCACTAAGGTGACTGCATGTAGACCCAGGCTGGTCCTGTCTGAGCTCCATGCTGATCAGTGTCTGCTCCTCCTTTGGACCCAGTAGAGGAGCTCACTCTGTGTCCACATGGAGTCCCTGTGCACGCTGACCTCTGAGCAGCTTCCGGCAGCTTCCGGCGGCTTCCGGCAGCTTCTGGCAGCTTCCGGCAGCTTCCGGCAGCTTCCAGCAGCTTCCAGCAGCTTCCGGCAGCAGGCGTCTCCCTCCACTTCATGCTGAAGCTCCTTCAACCAGGGCTGTGGCAGCTTCATGGGGAGTTCATCATCAGCCTTTAGTTCAGCTCTGCTGGTTGGACGTTCCAGCTCATTCTGGGTTGACTTTCTGATGAATGTGTTCTACAGCAGGGGGGCAGTTTGGACCCAGATCATACTCATACATGTACATTCAAACATGATATCACATGGACAACATGCCCTCATGCCATTCAGACATATTCAGCTTTTGTAAAATCTCAACTGTCCTGCCAAACATTACCCTCTTGGTGAGCTTTACTATAAGAAACAGATCTGTTCTCCTTACAAACTTTGAAGCAGGGGAAAAGTCAGCTGTTTATGAATGACCTGTGTTTCTTTTCTCTGCTCCAAAAAACTAGATAAAATAAACAAAAACAAACAGCCAGACAAACTGAGGCAGTAACAGTCTGGCTGCTTTTAGGGATGCTGCTGCCTCCACCTGCACAGACAACAGCAAACAAACGTCACATCAAGCCAAACCTGCTGCTCTCATTTCTGGTTTGAGCTTCATCAGTGCTCACAGCCACATTATAGTCATCTGCTCCGCCGCCCCCCCCCCCAAATAAAACCTGAACCTGGGTCTCATCTGAGCTTTTTCACAGCATTAACTGACTAAAAACAGTCAAAGTTCCTGTCCTCCCTCTGCCACTGGAGGATTAGGAGAAGTAAACTGGATCCTTTGTTTCCCCATTTTGTAAAAGCCTCATGATGCCGCTCCTTATTTTAGCTTAATTGGTTCACAGGTTTCTGTTACAGTTCTGATCAGTCAGCTTCTGTCCTCCACAATAAATTTGTATGTTTTACTGAACTTGGTGGTCATTTAAACACAGACTGCAGTTACATAATGTGGCCACTGGGTGTCTCTGTTCACCACAAACTTTATGGAGGGAAACAACTGTCAAAAGCTTCGTTGGTATTCTTATATCCACAGAAATGTTGAATATAAACTCTGCTGCTGTTTGTGCAGCTCCATGTTTGTCTCTGAGGAGCTTTTTACATGTTTTAAAGTCACGGCTCACTGTGATCAAACACAAATCTGCTTTATCAGTTTAGCCAATTGATTAAAGACCAAACAGGAATGGGGATGAAGGGCTCATCAGATCAGGGTTAAAGCTCAGACTGCAGGAACAGCCGTCATGACTGTTTGGGAGTCTTTATCTCTGATTGGCAGCAGCTTTTTGTTTTCAGGTTTAAGAACTGAGAGTAAATGAGTCATTCCCTCAGTCTGCAGACGCTGGCGTGTTGTTCTGCTGTAACATGATCCACACAGACACACCTGTACAGGTAGAACTGGTTTCCACATTCTAACGTTCATCACCTTGACAGAGGCGACGTTTTCCTCTCAGGCGAAGCAGAATATGAAGGTAAATGATCAGTTTTTGTTGCTTTAATATGTTTAAATGGTAAAAATCTGCTGTTTTAAACAGAAATCTGCATTAAATGGTCCATTCCAGTGTTCAATAAACAAACTTAAGCTCAGCTGAACTGAAGTAGAAGTGAATCCTCCATTTTATGAGGTGCTATTCAGCTTGGGGGGATTTTTATGAACACTCTGAAAG